TCTTTCCCCAGAGCACTGTGAAGGCTCACTCCAAGGCTCTCCGCCTTTTGCTGGTCAATACTCACTCGGCGCCTTCAACAGACACACAACCCCCTAAATAACACCTCATTCATGTGATGTACTGGTAATGAAGTATTCCCTGCTATGCACCAGCCCTGAATGGTGGTGTCTCACCCTCCTCCATCACACCCTGGTGCAAATCGGGAATCTCTGTTGTTAGTGGCATCATGGTGGGACACTTAGGAGAAAAATGTGCCTCAGTTCAAAGCATTGACTGACTTCTGAGAAAGACAAAAGAGGCTGTTTTATGTTCACCCTCCCAGCTAGGAAAAAACATACTCGTTTCTGTCCTTCTGTTTCACCATTGATAACAGATCGCTCACATCTCATGGTGCTCATAGCTCCCTGGAGAAAATGCATTGTAGTTCCCTGTCTTGTGTTTCCCACCTTTGCACAGACCTTTAATTTAGCCAGCACCTCTTCAGATCTTGGCAATACTTCCTCCCAGGATTCTGTTTCTGAACAGTTCATGAGCATCCCCCTGTGATAGCTGTATTTTTAATTGGTTGTCAGAAATTGCTTGTGCAGAAATCAGCTTTGACATGGTTGAATTTTTGTGTCTTGGGGTCGTAAGAATGCACAAGAAATGCAGCAATTTCTTTTTCTTTAAAGCAGTGAGATGGTAAGATTTGAGCTCGTGGCAAAAGAGGAGTAGCCTACCCAGGGTGTAATCCATATGCTCAAAAGCAGAAGGCAAAAAAGGCTATAAAATCATATGGTTCTTTTAACCAACCTTATAATGTTTTTGAGGTCCCCTAATATGGCACGGAAATACTACTGCAGTGCCTGGCTTTCAGGTAACATCAGGGCAAAGATGTTGGCAGTTACATTGCATGAAGATGCAGTGTAGACCCATGTTTCTCTGCTCTCCTACTCTAAGCTAGCATGGGACCATCTCCTCCCCCAAACCAGGGAGGTGCAGAGATGCTGCACTGTGCCCAAACACAGCCACCTGCCTTGGCCACTGCCTCCAGCAACCCACAGTGCTGCTGACTCCTTGTGTGTTCATAAATTCATGGAATGAATTTCCCTTTATCTTTCTACTCCCAAAAAGCAACCAGCTGATCTCCAGTTTTCTTTCCCTTTCATTTCATGAGCTGAATCCTTCACCAGTGTATAGAGGCATGGCATCATGGAGTCCAAAACCATTAAACCAGCATGTCAGATTGCTGCCTCGGCTTTGTGTGAGTGACACGGGGGCTATGGTGCAACAAGGATTTTCTCCGGCAGCTTGGATTGCTTCTGCTACCCCATGGCATGTCCTTCCCATGCATGGCATGGCTGTTAACAGCTCTCCTTCTCCTGTACAAGGAGTGGGTTGGAAGCCACCCGTTAATGTTATCACTCTGCAGCCTCCCAACCTGTGACTCTGCACACTGAGTGCAACGCATGGGATTATTTTAAGTGCCTCTGCTGTGCGAGAAACCACATCCTCAGTGTGACTTAAAACCACCTGAAAGCAACCAGGCGGTGTGGAAGAAACGTCCCTCATGCTCTTCTGCCTCTGCCTGATGCCATCTGTGCCCACTCCAGAGCGGTTACACCAGCTGTCTGGCTGCTGAACACAGCCACAGCTCCAAATGGAAACCAGAATGGTGCATATAGTGTCCAACTGGGTGTAGAGAGGGAAATGAGGCAGCTTTGCCTGCCCGCCCACCCTCTGCTTGCCTGGGGCCCAAATCCCTCCTCCCTGCAGTGATTCCTGATTTCAGCTCTCCCACAGTTTCCATTGCCACTGTGCTGCCGAGTTTCTAAAGGACAGGTCCAGGCAGCCACACTGAGCCCTGGCCAAGCTACACACCCCTGCATGGATAAGAGCTCTTGCATTTAGCTGCAAGGGAAAAACAGGAAGCAGAGTGAATTTCCATGAGCTTCAGTTGATAGAGCCAGGGAAAATACATTTAAAAAGCCCTCCCAGTACAATAAATTTCTTCCTGCTCCCCCCCTTCCTGCACCTCTTTTGCCCATCCCTCTGGAATCATTGTGTTTTCTCTTTTAGGAACACAGGAAAGTCAACAGCCAGGAAACCTTGTGATGTGCAATGATGACACCTTCTGCAGAGATCACACCTCTGCCTCTCCTTTCTTGTCTCCCTCTCCTTGTCCCCCCCTTTCAGTCCTGTAACTTACCATGTGGAAGATCCCTAGAGCGACTGTTGCTGTCTTGATGTTGAAGAAGCAACATCTGGGGGGCTCAGTGGTCGTTTGGCCAGTCATTTTCTGCTCCCTCTGCACAGCTGTGAGTTAAGGAGGTCGAAATTGCAGCAACCGCCCCAAGAAAAGCGAAGCGAGTAGTTCAGCTCCACTTCCTTCCTGGTCTATAAATGTGTTAAGTCATCTACAAAGTCACATGAGGGCTTTGATTTCTCAATAATAAAGCAAGCAAAATTGTGTTGTTTTTCTAACAGATCTTTAACTGCTTGCATATTCCAAATGGCAAAAGTAAGCACAAACGCTGCTTTGGGCAGGTGGTGTCCAGCAAGTGAGGTATAGGGGGAGAGGAGGGATCTGAAGCAGGGTACAGCTTTGTCCTACAAAAATCATCAGAAACAAAAGCAGGGGGCCAAGAATTTCACCTTAAACTTGACCCATTGTTTTTGCAGTGCAGCATCCAAGTGCCTCAGTTTGAAATGGCTTGTTTCTTGCCAGCAAAGTCACCATTCCTTGGAATTGCTCCTGGGAGCTGATGCTTGAGCAGCTCTGGACTCTGGGACTGGAAGAATAGTGAAGGGTTGTTGGCTGAGACATCTGCAGATTTGCTCCTGGTTCATGAGACAGCTGATGTGATTCATGTTAGTCGGCTCCTGGAAAAAAAAAGCACCAGAGAGATCTGAGCCTGGTGACTTAGCCACTGTGCAGGGTGTCAGACTGTCTACCCCTGCTTGAACTCACCGAAATCTGCTCTTTGCTATATATTTATGACCATTCTCATAAACCCCATGCTTCCTGGGAAAGGTCTAGAATGCCACAGCAGGGTGACAGCTCTCCGGCATCCAGGTAAATGTGATGAGAGATGGGCACACTCAAACAAGCTCTCAAGGGACTTGTGCGCCAGTGTACCTGGTTTCAGCCTCCCAAATGTACTCACTGAGTTTATTGTTCCATGCTTCCAGGATTGTTCCAAGCCAACATCAGGGCCCTGCAGTGTTTAGGCAGAGAGTTTTCTTGGTTGTTCTTATGAAACCAAATTCATGAGTTCTACCTCAATGCCAGGAACTAGCTGTTCTGTAGCCCTCCACATCTGTACCGAGCACTCCATGTCCAGCTATGTTATGGGAGTGTGCTGGAAAGCTTCAGTCTGGCTGAGTGGATGTTCCCAAATGCCACTGAACTTCCACAGTGATGTGCTTTTAGAGAAAGTCAGGAGGTTTTGGCAGCGATGGTAGGAAACAGAAGTAGCTGAATGCCCTTGGAGACACTGCATCTAAGACAGGGTCAACTTGTAACTTAAATCAGATGGTCCACAAAAGAGTGGCCATGTCTTTCTGTCCAGGGTCCCCCTCCAGAGCCAGGGACCTCTGCAGCACAGACGTTTTGCAGCAGGGCAGGGTCAGTGCAGTTGGGTCCTGCTGCATATTCCCATGGTTTTCTTTGGAATCTCACCAAAGCTGACAGTTTGTTACTTAAGTCCCAAATTTTGGAGTCACATGGTTCTCTCTTCTGTATTTTTCTTCCTTTAAGGATGCCATTGTGTTTTTCAGTCTTGGATTTGGGGGAAACTGTTTGCAGATAAGAGCAAAGTGTAGCTGAACAGAAGAAGATAAGGGATTTTTATTGCACACTCTGGTGATTTCACTGCATTTTAGCCAATCTCATAACAAGCTAGGCAAGAAGATGGGCTCAAATTCTCCAAACCCCTGAGGACAGCAGTACAACTCCTGCCCTGTGGTGGGCAGGAGGCTGAAAGCAGTTGAGGAAGGAATGGGAGATAAATAATGAACAGTTGCTGTAAGTCTTATTGGACTTCAGACTAGGTTTAGACTAAATCTTACCTCTTCAGGGTCACTTTTGAACCAAACCAGGTCATTTTTTGAACTAAATCAGGTCACTTTTGAACCAAATCACTCATGGCTTATAACTGGTAAAATTCTGACATCACTCTTGGTTGCCACCTTTATGACATGTGCTTTTCAGGCTGAAAATGAGGTGGGGTTAGCACATTTTTCAACATAGACTCTAACTACTATTAAGAACCATAAACCAGCTGCAAAAATTCACTGGTGGATCCATAGTAAAATGTGAAATTGAAATCTCTTCTCAAGCAGGGAAAGCACAAAGCAGTAGACAAGCACTAAAGGCAGCACAAGTGATAAGCCCTGCATCCATCAGGACCCCTGGGACAGCTAGAGCTACATCACAGCACCATAATCGTAGAATCACAGACTGGTTTGGGTTGGAAAGGACCTGAAGATCATCTAGTTCCAACCCCCTACCATGGGCAGGGTCACCTCCCACTAGACCAGGTTGCTCAAGGCCCTGTTCAACCTGGCCTTGAGCACGGCGTGTCCAGAGCATCTTTTTGAAATAGAGTTAAAAATAATATATGGTTTTAGAAACTGATCAGTTTAAGCATCTTTCATTTACAAATCAGTTGCAAATACAGGTTTTGCTTTACCTTCTCCACATGAAATGTGCTTTCTTTGGGGTTTGCTTCCCTTCAATGCCATGTTGTGGGCTCAGCCCAATGAAGGTGCAGGGGGATCAAGTATTTCCTGCTAATATGAAAAGCTGGTTTATAATTTGAACCTGATTTGCTTGGAAAATGTACTTTCCCTTTGCAATCCCCCCTGTCCTTTTAGAGGCAGACAGAAGCTTGCTTGTGTGAGCATACCATACCCAAACTTAGCTCACAACGTGCAAAAACAAATAGAAAGTGTGGCCCAGGCTGGGCTGTTGGCTTCAAATAGAGCAGTGCTGCCTGAATGCCACTGCATATTTGGCTGACAGCATTATCCTGAGTGGCCCCTTTCAGTGGTCTGCATACCAGCCTCTTCAGACACCCAGACCATTGCTGAAAGATCAGCGTTGTAGGAAGTTGGTCTGCTCTAAGGAACACAGCCTTGGCTTTTTCATGGAGTTATGGGCATGTGTTTTATATGCTTTGCAGAGCCTTGCCCCTGGTTCCTTCCTGGAAGCAATCCCATGTGGGACCCATGATGTTTGAGGGGTGTTGGTCCTTCAGCTTGATTCACAGCGTGCTGCCATAGGAAAGCATCTCCCATCAAGACATCTCCTTCAGAGAGAGCACAAGGAGAGGCTGGAATGAGCCATGTGCTGCTCTCCTTTGCACCCGCAGCAGCAAAATGCTTCCTGGTTTGAGTGTGCTGCTCCTTGGTGAAAGCATAGTTGAATGAGAGTGTAGGACAGCCACTGTGAATAAATCAGAGCTGCCAAATCGCCCGCATTGCTCAGAAGGGTATTAACACAGCCGTATGTTCCCTGTCTAAATCTTTATGCCTAATTCCAACACTGTTTCAGGCATGCACTGTTCTATAGGATGACAATTACGGAAGAGGTTGGGTTAGGCAGACAAAGCTTTTAGTCCACAAAGCCTGTGCTGACTTCACAGATGAGGAAACAAAGTACAAGGAAATTAAGGAGCTTTTCCCAGAGAAACAACCAGCCTACAACAGAGCTGACTTGTATCTAAGCTTCCTGCACACAAACTTCTAACACCCTCCTAGTAACAGGCTCCCAGTTTCCATGCAGCCCTGATCCTGCTTAGTCCTAGGTCTGGCCCCAGCCAGTGGGAAGCGTTTCTTCTGTCCTTCCTAATTGGCTTCCTCCAAAGCATTGCTTCATGTATTTGCACTTCAGAAGAAGACAAACAACAATGTGAGAGCCTTAATGAGAGAAGTGCTGCATGCCAGCGGAGCAATAAATCTCTGGCAGAGGCCAGCATTGGGGCTGCTACCACAAATTCCTGTTGCAGACCAGTTGGGTTCAGGCATCTGCTGCTGCCAGGAAAAAGGGAGAGTTTGGTTAAGTGGTTGACAAATGGCTTCTGCTTCTAGAGTCTCCTAATTAAACTAAATGCACTTTCCTTTCAAATGTATTTACAAAAGGAGGTTTGTAAAGATGCAGCTACCAAAGGATGCAGAAGAAGCAAGGACATGTGCACTCACTGAATCCTCCTGCCAGATCACAGATGAGAGCACTGGAGGAGCAGGGGAGCACATAGGGCTTTCTCCAGAAGTCAGTGGGTCATGGACATCTGGCTTGCTTGTGAGCTGTGATGAGAGCTCTGTGTCATGGGGTCCTACCTTGGGGTGAGGTGAAGGGTCCTCATAAGCAAAAGTACTCCTTAATCAGCGAGTTTTACAGGCCAGTGCTTTATTACATCTCTGACCCAGTCTGTTTAACTGAACCCCACTGCAGCCCCACTGTACTCCCTGTGGCAGGGGGTTGGAACTAAATGAGCTTTAAGGTCCCTTCCAAAACAAACCATTCTATGGTTCTCACAGGGGGGCTGTTCTGTGCTCTCTAGAGGCAATTACCTGGGTTCCTCTGTTCCGTCTGTAAAGCCTCGTGTCTCCAAACAGTGGTGAAAAGGTGAAACCTTGAATTCAGAAACAGTCACAATACAGCATGTGAATTACATCACCATGAGTTCAAAACAACCCCTTTCAAATACGTTTTTAAACAAAGGTAAAAACCAATACCCCAGAGAGAGTCAGCCCATGATGTTTTCGACTGCTTCACCAGGGATATTTTGGGGAACAAGTGCAAGTGAGCACCATGGAGACGTGGCTGTAGATGGGGTTATTGTAATAGCAGCACAGCTGGATTTTGTGATAACTCCCAGCCTTACTCCCCCAGCATCTAAGGGCTGTGCTGACCTGTCTTCCTCCTGGGTCTCCAGCCCATGCCTGCTTGGTGCAAACCCTCACTAAGCCCAAAAGCAAAGGTGTTCAACCTGCCAGGATATTAGACCTGATGACAATGTTCAGTGAAAGGTATTTGCAAGTGTCAGAAATCATTATTTTCTGGGTAAGAAAACTAAAAAACCCTCCCCGTAGCTCTGTGGGGCCAGAAGCTCTCAAAGGGCTCAGAAGACAAAATGATCGTTTTGCTTATTCTGAGTGACAAGAGCAATCTATTCATTAATGTGAGCTTTGTCCATCAGTTCATTATGCTTTATGTCTATGCTGATGTGTGTTTTGCCATTTGCTACTTCTTTTATTGCCATTATGTGACATGCTTTATTCATTGCACTGGGATTTATATCTGCCCTGTTACCTGCTTTATTCCATCATTATATTTTATATCAGGTTTGCTA